GAAGAACATCTGGATGTATGGATTTTGGGGTGAAATGTGACCCTGGACCACAAAACCAGTCTTAAGTGTCAATTTTTCGAAATTGAGATTTATACATCATCTGAAAGCTGAATAAATAAGCTTTCCATTGATGTATGGAATTGTTGGGATAGGACAATATTTGGCCGAGATACAACTATTTGAAAATCTGGAATCTGAGGGTGCAAAAAAATCTAAATATTGAGAAAATCGCCTTTAAATTTGTCCAAATAAAGTCCTTAGCAATGCATATTACTAATTAAAACGGAAGTTTTGATATATTTAGAGTAGAAAATTTACAAAATATCTTCATTGATCATGATCTTTACTTAATATCCTAATGATTTTTGGCATAAAAGAAAAATTTTGACCCATACAATGTATTTTTGGCTATTGCTACAAATATACCCCAGCGACTTAAGACTGGTTTTGTGCTCCAGGGTCACATATGTGACTGGACATGTGATTCATCCATGTGTCTTTGGGTACATTTAAACAACAATGTACTAAAAAATTCCTCTGCGTTTTTGAAAAGTTTTGCATACAGATGACATTGTTGTCAAAATGATCCCCAAAAACGACTAAAAATGTCGTATTTTTCATGCCATGCCATTAGTTGCCATGTTACTTTGTAAAGAAACACTACGCACCTGCACACATACTGTACCTATAGACTGAACACGTAATATGCATCCACATGACGTCACTGTTTTCACAAATTCACATTTTTGTAGTTTACACAGAGACAATAACAGTATCGTTTTCAAAAATGTACACTTTGAAAACCCGTTCTCCCAAAGGCTCCCAAAACGCCATTGTTGTGTAAAAGAACGGACCAAATCCATTCTTTGTTGAAAACGGAGTCATGTAAACGCCCCCTTTCTCAGCCTCTGTGTTCTTATCTCACCTTCAGGCATACAGAGCAATAAATATCCATTTATAATACACAGCTATTGTAACCTTTAGAGATCACTTGTCCTATTTCCCAGCTTTGTTCTCGCATTAAAAAAAGACTCTGCAGCAGCTGTTGCAATGTGGCATGCATGACTGGGACAGACTCCCATCAGATTGCACATATGCAACATCACTGAGAGGTGCTAATGATGTGGAAGCTGCCATTACATACCTCTATACAGCATTCAAATCACATATGTGTTCAGCTCCGACTCATAAGCTTTCATGTTGACAAGTAGTAATAAAAGAAATCATTAGTTTTAATGCGGTACTAATCATTTATTTTCATTATATATGTCAGTTTGAGCTAAATCGTGTTTGGCCATAATAGTCATCACCCTGGGTTAACCTCTCATTTACATACTTAAAAAGCATGAATACTTAATTAAACAAGCATTTTCTAGTTTAGCACTGCAACTCGGGCAGGATTCATAAACGGGAAACATTGCTGATTCCAGAGTTTAAACTGTATTAACCCGGGGTTTAAAAATTCATTTTTTATTCATTTTTTAATATATTATGTAATTATGCTTTAATTGGATAACATATTGTTGTCAGTATGCTATACATGCACTGTAAAAAAAAAGATTTGTTAATAAAACAAAGATTGCTACATTGTACAAGAAAATATTATTTCAGTCTTTCAGTACTTCAACTTGTCTTTAAGTCTTTATACTTTATCATGTTTAATTTCATGTTTAATTCACTTGCTTCTTTGTAATTATTTGAAATGGACTTGAGTGAAACCTTTCACCAATTTTTTTCACTTCATAGCTACATGCATCCAGCTTTGTTTTTTCACATACTTTAGATAGCCTGTGATGTCATTGATTGGCTGTCGGCGAGTGTGTGTGTGTGTGTGTGTGTGTGTGAGAGTGTGTGTGTGTGAGTGTGTGTGTGTGTGTGTGAGAGA